CAAAGAATACCATACCTTACTTGATAGTATGTTGAAGAATGATATATTCGAAGGTAATAAACCACGTTCTCGACGATATCTTGTATATTCTCGTTCGATCTTGTTTAGAAAAAAAATTATAATTTCATGCAATAAAGATAAATTGATTTGGATTAGTTTCCAACTATCATATAAATTATCAATAAAATTTGTAAATTAAAATATAAATTTCAATATATTCTTTAGAAGTGTTGGTTTTTTTCTCGTTACCTGTTTTCGTACATTCAGTTTGCGAATTGACCAGTCCAAATCTCGTGTACCAGGTCGTCCGGGTTCACCCATTTTCGGTCCCTCATAACTAGACAATGAATCACTTGATCCTTTCCTACTAAGAGAACCGGAATTAGGCCCTGATATTCGGTTTAAATCATGCATGGACCAAGAGGATCCTTTTTGTGGAACACTCTGCAATGATTCATTTTACAATGATCAAATTTTGAAAAGTTTTACTCTCAGCATATGGAGAGAAAAAATTAATGAAATTTTGGAATGGTTTGTTTTCTCTTTGAAAAATGATTATTTTTATGATATAATATGCTCGTACCAAAAAAATCATTGAGTGCAAATTTATTATTTTTTTTAACTGAAAATCAAAGCTAACATCTTCATTGAAAGATTGTTCTCGTTGCAGTGCTTTACTTGTACTGGCATCAACTTCAAAAAGTTTAGTTTCAAATTTGGAAGTTGACAATACTTCCGGTTCATCTGAAGCATTGTGATGAGTTGAAGTGTCTCCCAAAAAGGATGCGGAAACATACGGAAAATGAGAATGTCGAAGAAGCTTCTCAAGAATATGATTCGGCACATTGACTACCTAAAATTAATCATTTTCTTTTTTTGAAAATGAATGAACTTCAAAATAAAATCAATCTGAACATACAATTTTGATTTAATAGTTCAAAATTTTAAATAATTCAAAAGTTGCTAAATTTAAATGAGCAAATAATTATCAGATGTTATAAATGCGTTATGTATTTTCAGATGATGCGAATGTATTTGCGATTTTTTTAACGATCATATCTGAATCTATCAAAAGATATATTTGCAGTACTAACTATCCGTTTAAGTTATTCGGAACATTGTTTTACCGATTATCCAAATGTGAAATAAATGTTAGCATCTAGTCATTTAATTTTAGCAGAAAGAATGAATTTAAAGTTTTAATATTCAATAAAAAGATAAGCAAATGCATAAACAGTCGGTTAGATTAGAGAGATGCGAACAAATAATTCAATTAAAAATTTATAAATTCTATATCTCAACTAAAAATTTATAAATTTCAATTTGGCAACTTACATTATCATCATTATGTGAATTTTTCCGAAATTGATCGGATGGTAATGGATCGGTAACAGTTGCAACGGAACGAGTTTCCATCATATGTGAAGTATTTATATCATGGTCTTTAATCATTTCTAATTTATTCGATACATCAGTCATATCTGTTTTTGATCGTACATTTTGTTGTCTTGTTAGTATCCTGTTGTGTAGAATAAAATAGAAGAGAAATTTAATTAAAATTTTGGCAGCAAGAAGAGAAAAATAATTTATATTTTTATTTATTTAAAGGAAAAGAAGGAAGGGAAAAAAATTAAATTATTTATAGCATTAGTGAAAAATAGTACATACTTATGATTATTAATTGCAGTATAGAAACCACTATCTGATGCTTCAATTTCGCTTGCCAATGAATCGTAAAGTGAATCAGGAGTGCTAGTCCTTAATTAGCATTTAGCATTCATCAAAGCATAAACTTAATTTTTTCGAAA